TTCAAAACCCCCTTCCCCTCCCCCTTTTCTGATGAAGGGTCTAGGCCTGAAACGTCAGCCTCTCTGCTCCTATGATGCTGCTTGGCCTGCTGTGTTCATCCAGCCCTGCACCTTGTTGTCTCGGATTCTCCAGCATCTGCAGTTCCTGCTATCTCTGATTCAGTAATGGCTACCCTACTGTAGTTCCATGTACTAATGCAGTCTCTGAGCTCATCAGCTTTACCTGTTATATTCCTTGCATTAAAGTGAATACACTTCAGACCACCAGTCCTGCTGTATTCATTAATCTGGCCCTGCCTGTTCTTCTTCTGATTAGAATTACTTGACGTAAGGTAGACCTTCTCCTTAATCACTCCATATTCTGACCTACTGCTGTGGTTCCCACACCTCTGCCAGACTAGCAAACCTTCCTGCAAGGATATTGGTGCCTGTCCATCGTGTATAGGTCCCAGCTGCCCTGCAAGAGATCCCAATGGACCAGATATCTGAAGCCCTCCCTCCTACACCAGCTCTTTAGCCATACGTATTATCTTCCTATTTCTGGCCTCAATAGCATATGGCACAGGCAGTAATCCTGAGATTGAAATCCTGGAGATTTCAACTTCCTAGCTAATTCCCTAAATTCCATTTAAAGGACCTCATCTCACTTTCTGCCTTGTACCTATGTGGACCATGACCACTGGCTGGTCACACTCCCCTTTCAGAATATCCTGTACCTGCTCAGAGACGTCCTTGACCCTGCACCAGGGAGGCAATACACTATGCTGGAGTCTCGCTCGTGGCTACAGAAACATCTATCTGTGCTGGAAGAGGCATTATTGCTTGAGAATACTCCTGAATACATTCTAATTGGCCATTTGAATACAACAGAAGCTTTTGGAGCAGGTCATTCACATCTGGTCATCTGAGAATAGCGCATGGAAAGTAGGAATCAATGAAAGGGAAAAGGAGAGAAAAGGAGTAAGAGCTCTGCATTTTTCTCACCCGCTACTATTTAAAATGTATCTACTACAGATTAAAGGCGACAACAAAGGGATCTGCCCTCTTTCAACCAATGGATTTGTTTTTTTTATTATGCATTCATGGGATCTGGGTGTTACTGGCTAAGCCAGCATTTATTACTTATCCCAAATTGCTCAGAGAACAGTTAAGAGTCAACCATATTATTGTGGGTCTGGAGTCACACGTTGGCCAGACCAGGTTCCCTCTATAAAGGAGACTAATGAACCGGAGGATGGGGGGGTTTATGATAATCCAGACAGTTGTCATTTAGACTAGCTATTTTTCCAATTCCGGATTTTTATTGGATTTAGATTTCACCATCTGCTATGGTGGGATTTGAATTCTTGTCCCTGGACCATTTAACTGAGGTTCAGGATCACTTATCTAGTGGCATTACTCCCGTGACACTGTCTCCACTGAAAATAATTTTTGGCAAAGACTCAAGAACTGCTAAGTTTTCAAGTCATGCATATGATATAACAGTATTCTGAACATGAGTAAAGGCTCATCCAGTATAAATAAAAAGTAATGGAAAATACTGAGGCTATGACTCTGGCAGTGTTTCTCCTAAGGTTTTGCCCTGGCAGATAATCAGGGTGCAGAATTTGTAGATTATTGAAAATTCCACAATCAGTCTATTTACCCGTTTTGTTTTAAGAATTCTTTACAAAGAACAAAGTATTGAGCTTTACAAGGTTTTACTATTACAAGCATAGGAAACCAACATCCAGGTTGAAATCCTTCAAGGGTAAGTTGAAATATCCTTCATTGGACATGAGACAAAAACATTGATTGCTCAAGAACACTTCTCTTCTACTGTATGACAGAGTCCAAATCCACACGCCATAAAACTCCCACCCCCATTGCTCACTAGCTCTCCAGATACTTTCTAATCAACCTGTTCAAAGATGTAATTGCACACCTCTGGAAAAGGTAGGATTTGAGCTTGGGCCTTTTGACTCGGGTAGGGACACTATCATTGCATCACAAGAGCCCTTCACAAGCTCCTTATATTTGTACAATAAATTCACACCCAATTGACCCTTAATTAATGTTTACGTCATCTGTTCCCTTGCTCCATTAGGTGTCCGGCTTCACTTCAAAAACATTGAAATGGTTTGAAGAAAATATTGATCTTTGCACTTGTGAACTGTTTACTTTTATTAGACACCTTTGATGCTAATAGAAGATTTAAGACATTGACAATTTTAAAACTTACCTCAAATTTCTTCACCCTTTTTGTTTTTATATTATTCTGTCCTGCAACTATGGTTCCTAATTCACCAAAGCTTCCTAAACAGCATCATCTAAATCCACAATCACTTCCATCTAGAAGGACCAGGGCAGCAGATAAATGGGAAAACTAGCACCTGCAAGTGACTCTGCAAGTCACCCACATCCTGTCTTGAAAATTCATCACTGTTTCTTCAAGGTCACTGGGTCAAAAACCCTGCAATTCCCTCCCTAAATAGCATTGTGGTCTACCGACAGCACATGGACTGCAGTGGTTCAAGAAGGGAGTCCACCACCTTCTCAAAGGAAACTAGGGATGGGTAATAAATGCTGGACCGCCAGCAACACCCACATCTCATGGATGGTTTTAAATAAATAAGTTCAGCTCCTATTGCCCTCCCTTCCCGCTCTCCTAATGAATTAGTAGGTGACAAACTGGTTTTGCAGCACTGCAGAGGAAGTTCACAGGTGCACTCTACATTTTAGTCCATCAGGACTGTAATAAGGGGCCCGAAATAAGAAACAGTAATTGGGTGGGAAAAGATTAGCTTAATCCTACCTATCACTTCAGCTGAGTTCTGCTGGAAATACATGTCAATCAAACCCATACTGAGCAAGCTCACCCACTAAAAATCACATGGACCAGGTACTGAGGAGTGTTATCTGAGAAACCAACTTGAAACAAAAATTGTCACATTGTTAACAAAGGGATGAGAGGAAAGAAATGAAAGGTTTCTACTGTTTTTAGTCCAAGGGATGACTAATTATAGCCTATAAATTGGATTTTAATTATTAAAGTAAATGCAATTTTTTTAAGCTCGTGGTTGTTTTTAGTTATCTGGCTACATCTAGCTCTGTTCTGTGATTTTGTTCTTTTATTTCAGGCAAACTCCAATGCAGAAAACATGAAGTTAATTTCAGCGATATTGTGTGCTGCCCTCTACCCGAACGTTGTCCAGGTCAGTTCAGAACTCTTTGGATTTCACTTGCATTTTGACTCTGGCCTAATTAGGTATTGTTGAAAAGGAGCTCAGCTTTCTTCACTTATGGCATCTGGGTGTCTTCTGTTTAAAAGGATGCTAACGCGTCAACTACCCACTTCTTGGAAATTTTTCTTTTTTTTAATTTGTGCTGAGAAAAGCTGCTGTACCCTCTGATTTCTAATTCCACAGGATAGCTCCAAGCAGAGAAATCTTTTCTGCCAGGAGCTAATGAATATCGAGTGGGATTTCACATGTACAAAAATTTTTGATAACTTCGTAGTCTTTACTAATTTTATTTCAATAATATGAAGAATGGAAGCTAACAACAATCAAAACTCAACTTGACAGTCAAAAACAGAAATTGCTGGAATAGCTCAGGAGGTCTGGCAGCATCTGTGGAGAGAAATCAGAGACTTGAGAGTGGTGTTCCTTAGAATATTAGAGTATTTTGTAAATGGTAAGATCTAGGGACTCTAGAGGAGCAAAGAGACTTGGGAGTTCAAGTAAACATTATTAAGATATTATTATTAAATTATTAAGAGTAAACAGTGAAAAGCAATGAAAAATGATTAATGTTGGCTGTTATTTCAAGAATAAGAAAACAAAGGACATTCCGCTACAGTTGTACAGATTATTGATTAAACCCCATCCAGAAAACTGCATTAAATTGTGGATTTTGCACCTAGGGAAAGATGTAGTGAAGTTTCACCAGAATGATACAAGGGTTAAAACAGTTAAATTATGAGGACAGTTTAAACCTGTCTTGTATCATTTTGAATTTAGGAGAATGAGATGTTTAAAATGATAAAAGATTTGATAGGGTATATATGGAGACGCTATTACCTACTGATGGAAAAATCAAGAGTAAGGAGGCATAACCTTAAAATTAGAGCCAGGCTGTTCAGGGTTCACGTGCGAAGGACATTTTGAATAAGGGTACAGGAAATCTGAAACTGTCTTTCTCATTCGGCTGTTAAGGTTAGATCAGTTGAAATTTTCAAAACTAAGATTGTTAGATTTTTATAGGTAACAGTATTAAGTATAAATTGCTAATCCAAGGAGAGGTTAGAGACCAATCAGCCTCGATTTGGGATAGTTTGAAGAACTTTATGCTTTACTTCGTGTCATATATAGGATTTTGACAGTTGTTGTTGGGTAAAGATGTCAAGAGATATAAACTACAATTGGGTAAAATGTAGTTGAGGTACAGATCAACCAGTTAGATGAATGGAGCATGTAGCCTTCTCATGGGGTGTTTCAACTTGCAGCAGATACAAAACTCGGAAGAGTTTAGGGCTCTGAACGTACAATCAAACCATCGGTTGTACAGGAACTGACCAGAACACAGTCATTTTATGTTTCTGTCAATTTTTTTTCTCTTTCACTTCATTGTAAACTGGTAATCTTAAATGGCAACTTGTCAATCCTTTCCTTTTCTCTTGTAATTTACAGCCAGTTGCTTATTCTGTCTGTCAGCCTTCATGAAAACTTTATCTTTTCTTTTCAAGTTTGATGAGAAGTTTGTGTGACTTCCAAACCTCTGCTGTTCTATAGTTGATCTCTAGGAGGTGTGCAATATCCACTGACAATGACAGGTTTTATTTTTGTCACTTCCTGAAGGAAAGGGGTCTGTCCTGTTGTCTGCAGTACTTCATAATGGGAAGGAAGAAATTCCCATGTAACAAATTGCAAATGCAGACATCCATCCCATAGTCCAATGTTTATATATACTGTCTAAAAGAATATTTGGTTCAACTGATCTGTACTTGTGTTAGTTTCATGTGAGCTTACTTCATTTCAACACAACATAGTGTCATCATATCTCCTCTCCCTTGCTACCCCCATCCCCCATGCTTGCTACACCCTTCCCCATGCTCACCCTCTCTTAAGCTGTTCTCCCTCCACCCTGACCCACCCCATGTTCAATCCCCTACCCCGGCACTCCCCCTAACCCCACGTTCTCTCACATGTTCCCCTTTCCAGCACTCTCTTCCCCAATCTGCTCAATCCCCCACCTGCACTCGCTGTCTCCTACATTCGCCTTAGTTTTCCCTCCCAAAATGCAACCTCTCCTCCCTGTCTATCTCTCTCTTTTCCCTACCCCAACATCTCTGTCCCTCTCGCACTCCCTCTCATGCGCGCTTTCTCTCTCTCATTCTTGCGCGCACTCTCTGTCGTTCTCTATCTCACTTTTTTGCTCTGTCTGTCGTGCATGCTGTCTCTCTTACGTGCGCGCTCTGTGTCCCTCTCTGTCTCCCTCCCACCCTTGCCCCTTTAGTTGTCTGGTATCAGGTGGCATATGAATTCTAATAGCACCTTCTAGGGTCCCCTATTCCCATGACAATCAGGCTACATTGACTTATTACTCGGCAGAACAACCAGGGAGTGGCATACTCTCATTATTACCTTGATGAAAAAAGACTATTTAAAACTTAGCCAGTATAAAACTTTGCTTTCCTGATGAGAACTTAAAGCAGAAGGCATGTCAATTGACATGAGGGGGCAATGTGAGATATTTAAGATTTCAGTGTTGTTATGTTTCCACCTTGTGCAATCTTGCAGACAAATGGCAAATTAATCAGGCTAAAATCCCTGCTTTTTAAGACTTCTGCATTTTTAAAGAGAGTTTAAGTGTTTAGTGACCTAGCGGATTGATTTTTGTTATAGATGGGTTTCCAAAGGTCTGTGTCAGGTCACCAATGAATGATAGCATTTGCATAGATAAATAAGTGAGATGAGGACAGCATGATTTTTAAGGCTATTTGCAGAAAGTTTTTTTTGTTCTCAATGAATAACTTTGCTGTGACCTTCTGTGTAAAATATGTGTATCCTACCGTTTAACAAACCAACCAAATGGAGCAGGTGTAAATAACAAATAATGTATAGATGGATGCTATTATTCTTCTGCCAAACACTAATGACCATCATTAAAATACACAAAGGAATATGTGCAACATTGCAGTTTCAAGCATTGAATTAATTTGTTGGATCCCAGCAGAAGTTGTCAGCAATTCAAACATTTTGCAAGCAAAGCAAATGGGGAAAAAAGAACGAGATTATTAAAAAAACTTTTTTGAAGTTGGTTTACGATGTTCCAATTAAGGTTTTCTTTAAAGAGTGCAAACTCAAAACCTTGTCAATGGTTACCAAAGATAAAACATAATATCAGGCTAGTTCAATGGGAACTAATAATTGTTAATGTGTCATTTAGTCTAAATAGGTGGAATGAAGATGTGAATTTTCAAACCAGTTTTTTTGGTCAAAAGATTACTTTGATGATCTCTCAGTTTGAATATCTGGAACCAAAAATTACTGCTAAATGTGGACAAAGTCGGAGGTCACAGGACACCAGGTTATAATCCAACAGGTTTATTTGAAAACACATTGAAAACAACTGAACTTGTTGGACTATTACCTGGTGTTGTGTGATTTCTGACTTTGCCCACCCCAGTCTAACACCCACACCTCCACATCATATCTGAATGTGGAGACAGTAATGATTTTCAGGTGTCTTTATTACAGCCTTAGAATAAATTTGTTACAGTTGATACAATTAATAAACAAATCAGCATGGGGTACCATGGTGGCTCAGTGGTTAGCACTGCTGCCTCACAGTGCCAGGGACCCAGGTTCAGTTCCACCCTTGGGTGATCGGCTGTGTGGAGTTTCCACATTCTCCCCACATCTGTGTGGGTATTCTCCGGGTGCTCCGGTTTCCTCCCACAGCCCAAAGATGTGTAGGTTAGGTGGATTGGCCATGGGAAATGAAGGGTTACAGGGAAAGGGTGGGTCTGGGTGGGATGCTCTTCAGATGGTTGGTGTGGACTTGATGGGCCAAATGGCCTGTTTCCACACTGTAGGGATTCTATGAAACTGTTCTCCATCAGAATCCTGTGTCTTTGTTAGGGGAGACTGAACATTGGAGAAAGATTGTGATATGCATCTACAATACAGATCAACCTGAAAGCTTCATTTTTGTTGTATTTAGGTGACCACTCCTCAGAGTAAGTATGCGAAGACGATGTCTGGTACACTAAAAGTGCTACCAAAACCAGAAGAGCTGCACTTCATCACAAAGAATGATGGAAATGTCCACATCCATCCTTCTTCAGTGAACTATCAGGTCAGTATGTATGGATATTTCCTTGTGAAAGGTGGTATAACAACCAACAAGAAAAGATCAATCTACAGGGCATAAATCAGGCTAGGGAAGATCTTCTGTTGATATCCTGCTGCCCTATGGGGATAATGCCCTGTGGAGTTTGGCAAGGGCTAATGTTGCTCATTTGAAGAGTGAAATGTAGGCACAATGGGCCAAATGTTGCCCTTCTGTGCCCTAACACTCCTGTGATTGTGTGAGACTGTTATTAATTACCTCACTATCTCTTTGAGCAATTTGACATTGGCCAAATGAATATTGGCATTACTTAAAACTCTCATAAATTCAATCTTAAAATCTTATAGCACAGCAGAGGCTATTTATCCCATCATGCCTGTGATGACACTTTCAATGATATTTCCAATCCTTATCCTTGTTCTTTCCCTATGGTTCTGCCAACGTTTTTCTTTTGAATATTTATCCAACACACTTGAAAATTATCTTTGATTTTGGTTCCACCACTCTTTAAGGCACTGCATTTCCAGATCATAACTGTTTGCATTTAAAAAACATAAGTATCCTCAACTCCCCTTTGGCTCTTTTGTTTGTTATCTAAAATTTGTCCCCTCTAGCTATCCACTAGAATCAATTTCTCCTTATTTACCTTCTCAAAACTGCCCATAATTTTGAATACCTTTAAATCTCCTTAACCCTCTCTAGTCTAAAGATAACAATGCTGGATTCTCTAGTCTCTGCTAAATGAATAGGTACAAGTAATTACAACAATGCTGTATATTTGACAGGTACTAAGAGCATTTTGTGAAGTTAAACAGAGTCCTGTTAAGTTACCCAGGACAAGATGTTGCACTTTCACTTTTGTCTGAGTCAAGTAATACAGTTATTGAACTTCAGTGATTTTTCAAAGCATATGAGACATTTCTAAAATCTGATAATCTGTTGGATTGATAAACAAATATAACTTGAATACAAAGCACCTTTTAAATCCACAAAACAGTTAAACTACAATAAAATATTTTTATAGTGTAGTTACTGTTGAAGTGTAGAGAAAGTGGCAGCCAATATTTGTCCATTGTAGTAGTGTCACAAACAGCACTGACGATATAATCTGATTTTGTGATGAATACAGGGAGCTAGGAAGAAAGTTATGAAATCGAACCTCAAAGGTAGTGAGCTCAGGATTACTCCCCGTGCCATGTGCTAGTCAGAGTAGAAATATATTGGATGAATGGGTGGCTGAAAAGCTGGTGTCGGGGGAGGGTTTCAGATTCTTGGGGCATTGGGACCGGATGTGGGGAGATGGGAGCTGTACACGTTGGACCGGTTACACCTGGGCAGGACTAGGACTGATGTCCTAGCGGGAGTGTTTGCTAGAGCAGTTGGGGAGGGTTTAAACTAATATGCCAGCGGGATGGGAATCTATGTAAGGAGTCAGAGAAGGAGCAAGGACAAAAACAGAAGGTAGAAAGGGGAATAAGAAAAGTGATATGCAGAGAAACCAGCGTCAAAATTCAAACAGGGCTATTGAGAAAAATAAGAGCGAGACAAACAATGTTAAAAAGACAAGCTTAAAGGCTTTGTACTGTAATGTGCAGAGCTTTTGCAGTAAAGTGGATGAACTAATTGTGCAGATAGATGTAAACGGGTGCGATATAATTGGGATTACGAAGGCATGACTGCAGGGTGACCAGGGATGGGAACTGAATGTCCCAGGTATTCAGGATTTAGGAAGGACAGGCAAAGCAGAAAAGGTGGTGGAGTGGCATTGCTGGTTAAAGTGGAAATTAACACAGTAGTGAGAAAGGATATTAGCTCTGACAATGTGGAGTCTGTATGGGTAGAGTTGAGAAATAGCAAGAAGCAAAAATCATTAGTGGGCGTCATATATAGACCCCCAAACTGCAGTGGTGATGTTGGGAATGGCATTAAACAGGAAATTAGAGATGCACGTGATAAGGGAATATTGGTGATCATGGGTGATTTTAATCTGCACATAGATCGGGCAAATCAAATTAGCCACAATGTCATAGAGCAGGAATTCCTGGAGTGTTTCTGAGTTGGTTTTCTTGATCAATATGTGGAGGAAGCAACTAGAGAGCACGCCATCTTAAACTGGGTACTGTGTAATGAGAAGGGAATCATTGCCAATCTAGCTGTGCGAGACCCCTTGGGGATGACCGACCATAACATGATAGAATTTTTAATCAAGCTGGAGAGTGAGGTAGTTGATTCGGAGATTAGAGTGCTGAATCTTAACTGAGTTGGCCTTGATAGATTGGGGTGAGTCACTTAGAAATGACAGTGGATAGGCAATGGCAAACATTCAAGGAATGCATGGGGAAACTGCAACTGCAGCAAGTGTTTATTCCTGTCTGGCACAAAAGCAAAATAGGTAAGAGGACTAATTCATGGCTTACAAAGGAAATTAGATATAGTATCTGATCCAAGGAAGAAGCAAGATTAGGGGTGCAGTTTAGAATTCAGCAAAGAAGGACCAAAGGATTGATTAAGAAGGGGAAAATACAGTATAAAAGTAAGCTTGCAGGGAACATAAAGACTGATACTAATAGTTTCTATAGGTACGTGAAGAAAAAGAGATTGGTGAAGACAAATGTAGGTCCCCTACAGACGGAAACGGGGGAATGTATATTGGGGGACAAAGAAACGGCTGAGCAACTGAATACTTGCTTTGGTTCTGTCTTCAGAAAAGAGGACACAAATCAGATACCAGAAATGTTGGAGAATGCAAGATTTAGTGAGAAGGAAGAATTGAGGGAGGTCAGTATTAGTAGAGAAATAGTCTGGGGAAATTGATGGGATTGAAGGCGGATAAATCTCCAGGGCCTGATAATGTACATCTCCGAGTACTTAAAGGAAGTGGCTCTAAAATAGTGGATGCATTGGTGGGCATCTTCCAGGATTCTATAGACTCTGGAACAGTCCCTGCAGGTTGGAAGGCAGTTAATGTTACTCCAGAATGCAAAAAGGGAGATAGAGAGAAAACAGGGAATTATAGACCAGTAAGCCTAACATTGGTTCTGGGGAAAATTCTCAAATCCACTATCAAGGACATTATAGTGGAGCATTTAGAAAGCAGTGGCAGGATCATACAGAGTCAGCATGAATTTACGAAGAGGAAATCATGCTTGACAAATCTATTGGAATTCTATGAAGATGTAACTAGTAGAGTTGGCAAGGGGGAGCCAGTTGATATGGTATATTTGGACTTTCAGAAAGCGTTTGACAAAGTCCCACATAAGAGATTATTGTGCAAAATTAGAGTGCATGGGATTGGGGAAAGTGTATTGTGATGGATAGTAAACTGGTTGGCAGAGAGGAAATAAAGAGTAGGAATTAATAGGTCCTTTTCAAATTGGCTGGCAGTAACTGGTGGAATGCCACAGGGATCAGTTCTGGGACCCTAGCTATTCACAATATATATTAATGATTTGGAAGAAGGAACAACATGTAACATCTCAAAGTTTGCAGATGATACCAAGTTCGGTGCAAGGGTGAACTGTGACAAGGATGCAGAAATCCTTCAGCATGATCTCGACAGGTTGGGTGAGTGGGCGAATCAGTGGCGGATGCAGTAAAATTTGGATAAATGTGAAGTTATTCACTTTGGAAGCAAAAACAAGAAGGCAGATTACTGCCTGAATGGCTGTAAATTGGGAGAGGGGGATGTGTAGCGGGACCTGAATGTCCTTGTGCACCAGTCGCTGAAGGTAAGCATGCAGGTGCAGCAGGTGGTAAGGAAGGCAAATGGTATGTTGGCCTTTATTGCAAGAGGTTTTGAGTACAGGAGCAGGGATGTGTTGTTGCAGTTATATAGGGCCTTGGTGAGGCCACACTTAGAATATTGTGTGCAGTTTTGGTCTCCTTTTCTGAGGAAGGATGCTCTCGCTCTCAAGGGAGTACAGTAAAGGTTTACCAGGCTGATTCCGGGGATGGCAAGACTGACGTATGAGGAGAGATTGACTAGGTTAAGATTCTTTTCACTGGAGTTTAGAAGAATGAAGGGGGCTCTTATAGAGACTTATAAAATTCTAACAGGACTAGACAGGGGAGATGCAGGGAGAATGTTCCCGATGGTGGGTATGTCCAGAACCAGGGGTCACAGTCTGAGGATTCAGGGTAGACTATTTAGGACAGAGATGAGGAGACAATTCTTCACCCAAAGAGTGGTGAGCCTGTGGAACTCATTACCACAGGAAGTAGTTGATGCCAAAACATTGAATGTATTCAAGAGGCAGCTAGATATAGCACTTGGGGCAAATGGAATCAAAGGTTATGGTGAGAAAGCGGGATTAGGCTATTGAGTTGGACAATCAGCCATGATCGTGATGAATGACGGAACAGGCTTTAAGGGCCAAATGGCCGTCTCCTGCTCCTATCTTCTATGTTGCTATGCTTTGAGGGATAAATATTTGTCAGACACTGGAGAGAACTTCCCATCTCTCCTCAAGAATATTACTGTGGAATCTTTTACATTCCTTGAGGGATAAATTTCTTGTAAGTCATTATTCCTTTCACAAGATTGTGAAAGTGAAAACTGGGACCGTGATGGTTAGTCTTCTGTGTCAGTTGAGTTCAGATTGCTGTACAATGTGCCCAGAAGTGAGCTCAGAGCATTTGTTTCTGTGGTCAACTTTGCTTAGTTCACACTTCTTCATTACTGAGGTAAAAATTGAATGGGCTAGGTAGCATCTAAAGGGTTTCATGTTATGACCCTTAACCACACTTATCCATGAATATTGCTTTTTGCATTGGAAATATTTGGAAGAATAGAGGTACAATTCAAAAAGTGCAAGGCTCTTGATTGAAGCCAGCTCCTGACTTTGATATGAGGAATACTAACTAAACCCAAACTGATAACTGTCATCATTTCCTGATACGTTAGATAATTCTTTAGCCTTGAGCAGCTTTTGCAGTTGACCTTAAACATCAGCAAATCCAAGGCAGCAACATCAACCATAATTCATGTTTATTTAACACATTTTTAATGTAGTAAAAGGTTCTCGGACACTAGAATGTACTCAGACCAAACCAAGCCACATAAGGACATTGTAGACCAAAGTGGCTTGATTAAAGAGGTAAGTTTTTATACAGCATCATAAAGGAGGAGATAGAGACATTGAGGTTTAAGGAGTGATTTCCAGAGCTTAGGCCATAGGAACAATCATAACCCATTTTTATAATGTTCCTCTAGCATGTTCTGCATTTAATAAGGTCACAGCTAATCGGATTTTAACCTCAAATCTGCATTCATGCATGCACCTGATGATCTTTCATCACCTTGCTTAACACAAATCTGTACCTTAAAAATATTCAAGGATATCGCTTCACCACTCTTCAGGAAGAAAATTCCAAAGATGCATAATCATCTGACAGAAACAAAATTCACTACATCTGTTTTAAATGAGTGACCAATGTTTTTAACCACTGGCCTCTAGTTGTAGATTTTCCCCATAAGAGTAAACATCCTCTCTAAATGCATTTCTGATGAAGGGTCTAGGCCTGAAACGTCAGCCTTTCTGCTCCTATGATGCTGCTTAGCCTGCTGTGTTCATCCAGCTCTGCACCTTGTTGTCTCGCATCCTCTCTACATCTATTCTGTCAAGATGCCTCAGATTCAAAACGCTCCTTATTCTTCTAAACTTCAGCACATACAAATCAAGCCTGTGCAACCTTTCTACATAAAACAAATCCCCAATTTGAGATATCAACCTATTAAATCTTCTCAGTTGGTCCCCGCATCCAAATTATAGATGAGGCCACACTGGTGACAGCCTGCCAATCTGAGAATAACTCATTTATTCCTACTCTGTGTTTTCTGCCTATTAGTCAATTCTTAGTCCATGCTATTGTATTATCCCATTCCAAAGTGCTTTAAATTTTATTTATTAACCTGTTTTGTGACATTCTATCAAAAGTCTTCAGAAAATCCAAATACACCATGTCCACTGGCTCCTCCTTATTGACTTTGCTTGTAACATCCTCAAAAATGAATCACCTATCAGGTTTGTCAAACATAATTTCTCCTTCATAAATGAATGTTGACTCTGTCCCACCAGATAATTATATTCCAAATATTCAGTATTCAGATCCTTTATAATAAATCCTAGCCAAAAACAAGCTATTGAAAATGAAAAATGCATTGCAGAAGAGACCAGGTTTGGATCAAAGCAGTGTACTTGAGGGTTATGGTAGTGGGGGAATTAATCCAAATTATGAATACTGAATATAAAGACTAGGTACTACAGCCACATTGCCTTTCTCAGTACCTGCCTACGAAACCGGATCATCCCCAATGGACTACAGTCTACATTCAGGCCTTCCCAATTTGGCCCCAGCCGCGATGACGGCTACGTACAGAATGTTCAGATCTCTCTCACTCCGAACGTAAAGATGTGAGTTTTAAATTTAAGACTCTGCTGCTTTGGGTGTGAGTGTATGTCAGCAGCCACAGTAGTAATTGGTGAACAGGAGTTGGTGTGAGTTAGGAGACAGACAGCAGAGATCTGAGTGAACTGAAACTTTACAGAGGATGGAAAATGGAGAACTTATCCAGAACTTTTAAATAGACAAATATGGAGGCAACGAAAAGACAGACGAGAAACAAGTTTACTAAAGAGGGAGGAGGAAAGGCACTTGGGAGAAATATTATTGACCAAAGGACATTACGAAAACACTAGTAGAAATAGTAATGGAATGGGATTTTAGAAGTCTCAACCAAAAGACAGTATCTGAGAAAATAAGTCGAAGAAAAAAAAATTAAAAGCATTTTTAAAAAACACCGTGGAATGAAGCTAAATGGGGATCTCTTTCAAACAGCATTGATGAGCTAAATAGCCATCCTTTGTACAGGTAATTTGGGTCAATTTATCTTAAAAGGCTTTTTATTAAAATAATGGTGGATCTCTTCATAACCAGCAGTAAACTGAAGAGGAGTTATCTACACAAATAACTTTCTAATCAGAGATAGTAGGAACTACAGATGCTGGAGAATCTGAGATAACAAGGTGTAGAGCTAGATGAACACAGCAGGCCAAGCAGCATCATAGGAGCAGGAAGGCTGACGTTTCGGGCCTAGACCCTTCATCAGAAATGG